TATGTATGGATGAATGCAGCCAATGGACAACTGGACAATGATTGACAAATGAGGAATTTCACTAAACTCCACCTGTTATTATCAGCTGCCTATATAAGTTAAGGTTTAAGGTCAGGAAATCAAAACTATTACACACCTCCTAAATGTAACTTTTGCATTGCATTAAGGATAGCACAATTATGTGAATCAAATTATTCATTTGTATCCAATAAATTGTTACGACTTTTAACACTGAAGAAAAATCTCTCCTGACCTTTTTTATTTTACAAGCATGTAATTGATTTAATATTCCAAAACAACTCACACTGTTTGAGGAAACTGATTGCTACAAACCATTTGATTCTATGAGTACTGTGAACTTACTCCATTTAAGCTGAAGTAATGAGATAATTAAGAGATTAAGTACCTGTTGATGGAGCATTAATGATGAACATCTGCTGTTATCAAGCAGAATTCAACATCATTCAACAACTTCACAAACAGCAGGTTCACCTATTACAAACCTGCTTTAGTTTAACTTTATCAGATGTCCACTGCAATTCTCTAAAAAATAAGAACTTTTAGACATCACTACTGATGTGAACAGTGTTTTCTTTGACTTATACCTCATGTTAGTTTTTCTTGGCTTTTGTAACTTTGTTATGGCATGCGTAATAAAAAGAATATAAATATATAATGATGGTATTATCCAGTTTTTAATAATATATGTCATTGGCCACATCAGATTATATCTAAATTGTTGTACTGCTTTTCACTTTACTGATAATAATTCCTCACTCATACTCAAATTCTTGATGTCTGTCTCTTAATTGGTTTATAAAATGTTTATGTACTGTATGCTTGTTTTGAAGCCCTTGATAAAGTGTAGTTAAATTAAGCATCTACTTTATTTAATATTTCACATCCAATACCATATCATCAGCTTAATTAGAAATTAATTTTAACAACAATAATATTTATCATTCTGAAATTTGGTTATATAACCTGACTGCATTATTTCTCCTTTTTCTTATCATTTCATATAATATAATTATATGTTATATATTATTGAACATTCAAAGAAAAACTAACATGAGAATTGAAGTCAAAGAACCCTGGAAAAGCAACCGCTGTTCTCATTAATGGCGATGTCTAACAAGATTGTTTCCTGTTAATCATGCTAAGGTCTTTTGTAGACGTCTGACAGAAACAAAGTCAAGCAGGTTAGTAATAGGTTAAGCTGTTTATACTGTTTAATGATCCTCTGCTAATTTTTTAAAAGATTGAATGTGTTTTATTTCTTTTAAGGCTGTGACTAAAGTCAGCTGTAGTTTTGTTTCTCTTCAGTAATTCTGCTTGCTAACAGCAGGCGTTCATCATTAATGCTTAATTAACACATACTTAATCACTTAATTAAATCATTGACTTCAACACTAAGTTCAATACTATTTTAAAATGAGTAGAATTAACTTCCAGTAAATTTTGAGTTAACTACATTCAATTTATTTGATCAATTTAACTGTTGGGTTTTACAGTGTTGTAATATTTTGTACAGAAGGAATATTTCTAACATAATAGAAAATATGATTTTAATGATTATAGTATTGTGCTAATAGATTACTAATGAACGCTTATGCACTTTGTACCTTGACTAAGTGTCCAGTAGTTTGGGCTGCAAACTAAGGTTGTGCAGCACTGATTGAATTTGGAATTTGTGCAATTTGTGTTTGACAACTTTACATTTTGTAGTGCATTTAGTTGTTGTTTAAGTGCATTTAGTAATTTCAGACTTCATACAGTAGACATCCTTCATCTTCTCATCAGTGTCACATACAGTCTCTCTGTCAACGTGTGTGAAGACTTTGTGTACTCTTGGGGACTTTTATGCTTCCTCGTTCTATACGTTTTCTGCGCTTATAAAGCATCTTGAGGTCAATTTTTCTATGTACGATTTGATTGGAATCCATGGACAAGAACAATTAAGTAGTGACTGTATGTTGAACGAAAAATGTGCAATAAAAATACAGATGCAGCACTAAAAAAATAAAATTTTTAAAACTTCTTAATAAAGTACAATTCCTAGGAAATACTACTCCATTACAGTAACTTGAGTATTTTTAACTAATTACTTTACACCGCTGTAAATAAGTTATTTGAATCAATGATTCTGCAAGTGAAAATGATCATTGTATGAATGCATAAATCTAATGTTTTGTACTTTGGACACCCAGTGTTTAATTTTTTTGAATGTAGTTTTAGAGTTTTAGAGTAAAACAGTAATTTGGTGAATTAGAATTAAATAGAATTTAAAACCTAAAAACTACACTTACAGTATGTTCAACTGTATCAAATCAACTGAAAGAAATATTCAATTTTTTATTTAACAACTTAATGGAGAAATTCAATACATAACATTATTAAATAGATAAAAAGACTCACCAAAACATGCCACCACCCACAGAGTCCAGTATAAGCCACGAGGAACCGTCATGATCGAGTCTCTGAAGCTCAACTCATTTCAACTCTTAGTTTCAGGTACAGTAAATGATAAATAGCTGATACAGAATGAGGACAGAAAGATACCTGCGCCATCTAGTGCTGATGTGAACATGAGAACACCATGGAAGCACTTCCTACTACTTGGGATGGGCAAAAATACATTAAAATGTATTTTAAAATAAAATACCAATTTTAAATGTGTCAAAATAAACTACAAAAAAAAACAGCAGCCACAACTAGTATCACAATAATGTTTTTTTTTTTTTTTTTTAATACTCCAAATATCTTTTAAAGTAAGCAATACATTTCTTGGCAAACCTTACATAAGGCCTATTCAATCAATCCGTTCATAAAAGTGAATTGACTTGTAGCCTATTTTGGTAACCCAAAGGTCCCAGTCTTAGCAGGACCTGAAGATGAGGGGAGTAAATGAACTGCACTCTCTCCATATTTGGTGCCCTTCAGCAAGGTTTTAAATCCTTAAAACCACAGACAAGTACTTTTTAAATTAAAATCTGACAAAAGAGAGTTTTTGCAATGTCACTCTAAAGCACTGAAGTGGAGTATACATAGCTCTAAAGTATAAATAATAAATAACAGAACTGTAGTTATCAATAACATCGATTAATGAATATGAATAACATTAATGGAAAGAAAATTATGTAAACACAGAGTAAAAAAAAAAAAAAAAAAAACAGGCCAAAAAAAATGATAATCAAAAATGAGATCTCTTCGATATCTTAAATATTTCTACCAGATAGAAATGAAATTACTATACAATCAAATGGATACATTAGCATAAGTCTCTTGCTCACATTCATATCTGTTCCTGACTGTTTGGCATACTTTGCACGTCTTCAGCTTCAGGTAAAAATGGTGTTTTGCGGGCGATGTTCAGCCTGGTTCCATGGAATAGACAAGGATGCCATCAATGTAAAAGATAACAAAATGATGGAGACACTTCAGAAAAACCTCATTCATGAAGTTCTGGAAGATGGCTGGAAAAATGGGACAGTCCATACAGCATGTAGTGGGAAGCAGGAGTGAAAAAAGCCCTCGTTTTAACGAATCATCCTTAATGATATGAACAAGATTACATGAAGGTCCGCATTTGAAGCTATATTGTCTCTGACTGTGGTATCTGTTTCTCTCGTGAATCACAGAGCCATTTTGAGGTAAAAACAACAACAACAGCAACAACAACAAAACAACTAATTACCAATTCTACATTATTGTATGTGCATATTTTCACTGCAAAAATAACAAACAAACAAAAACTGCACAAATATTGTCTCCATTTTTTGAGAAAAGCTGCTGCAAAGTCATTTATTGCATCTTTTTTGTTACTTAGTAATTCTTTTAAGGTTCTAAAGGATATCTTATTTATAGTTTGTATTATATTTTATAATTGGGTTTAGTGTGAGTTGGTGTAAAGAGAGTCATCAAAGGTTTTTATTATAAATATAGAACTTGAATGAACTGTTTTAAAATGACTGAAATGGAGGATGGTGATTATTCATGATATTTGTTTGTTTTGACCAAAGATTAACCTTGGCATCTTGTATGGACTTTGCATCTATTCCAGAATCAAATGCGGAAGAACTACAGACAAAAAAAAAAATGCCTACAATATTAATAAGTAATGAAAGAGCCATTAGATAATATAACTCTCATATAAATAACAGCCACAATGTTTACCAAGCCTCGCTATTTATGACCAGAACAAAATGCCTTCCTCATTTAGTTTCCTTAGATGAAACTGTATTCTGGTCCAAAGGTGATTTCATCAGGAATGTAACTTCTTTTTTTACTATTATTATCCCAATCAGTTTTATCTTCGATTTTTTATTACTCTATGCAGGAGAGAAGTGGGGGTTAGTCTTGTGATTTCTAAAATGCTCATCCAAGTGATGGTAAAACACTAATTAAGAAATTAATTCAAATCTTGAATTCAAATCCTAAACTAAAATCTTCATGCTGAGTGTGAATAAGAAGCTAGGACTTGCTAATTTAACAAGGAATAGTAAAATACAGTATATATCAAGCATTTCAGTAAATTTTACATTTAAATTTTGCAGCCAAAACCTTTTTCTTTTCACCAAACTGCTGACCCTCCAAACCAAAAGTAAATTTAAACACAACATAAAACTAAAAACTAAACAAATTGGTCTCCTTCTATTCTTGTGCAAAAACAAACAAACAAACAAAAACACCCGAAATAAAATAAACAAAAACTTAATTTTGCAGCTGGAAGGGCTTCAGCTACGTAAAACATATGCTGGATAAGTTGGCGGTTCATTCCGCTGTGGCAACCCCAGATTGATAAAGGGACTAAACCAAAAACAAAATGAATAAAATTAAATAACTTTATTTTAACCTTTAATTTTTAATAAACAAATTGAGTGGTTCAAGTTCAGGTTAAAAAGTTACATTTTAATTTCATTCAACTTATCTGTTAATCACAATAAACTTTAATTAATATTTGAATAAAGAAACTATTCTTATATTATTATTTTGACATGTTTTATGGTAAAGACACACAAATAAACATTTAATACCAACAATGTACTGTATGAATTAAAGAAACATCTGTGTGAACATGTAATCTGCAGGAGTATTCAATGCAGTAGCTGTTCATGTTTTCACTTCCTCGCCTGCACACAGAAAAAAAAGGACACCTTAAGTGATGAAATGATTCAATTATTTTCTCAGTGTATTACTGTGACATGCCAGAAAAAATAAATAGGCTAGCTCTTATTTTGCGATGCAGTCAAAAAAGACGTGCCAAAGTATGGATTCTAATATTAAGAAACTTCTCACCTGAAGTGGGGGAGCCGTTGAGCAGGAGGGCCTGTTTGGAGCGTTTTCATAGATTTCATTCCGATTTTCATATATATGGTTTCCATCTCCATTAGTATCCGGGAAATTATTAGTTTCTTCAAAGCTTATATCCTACAAAAAATATATATATTCTGACATTACAACATATAGCATTACATGAAAGAAAGTCTAGCAGTAAAAATACACTCATGGATCCTTCAATACTATGAATACACCCCAATCAGATGAGACCTATACATGTACAGCATGTGTTTGTAATGTGTCACTTGAAATCAGACTCAACATTTTAAATTAGGTTTTTTACAATATAAGATTAAATTGGCTTTTCCTAAAAAAACAAAAAAAACAATAGAAAGTTACTCACAAGCTCCTGTCCTCTTTGTGCTGTGGCTTAAATACAAAAAACAGTGCGTTCAGACTGAGAGAAAAATGACTGAATCATCTGTGGTGTAAATAGGTAATTTGTAATCTTGTGTACAGTAAGATGGCCATTATCAAGTTCAGTCTTGTTTAATGTAATGTAGACAGCTGTTATTTAGCTGAGCCATAATCAAGAATTACACAATGAAGAACAAACATACCTCCACTTGCTTCATCCCTTTTCAGACAGTTTGGTTTTGGACTGTTTTGTAAAGACAAAGATATTTTGTTACAATTATGTCAGAAATAAACAGCCTATAAGAGATCTTATAACATCTTTTCTAAGGGTGCTTTCACACCTAGACTTTTTGTTTCGGGACCTGTCTCGTTTGCCCAGTTAGCGCGGTTCGTTTGGCATATGTGAATCCAGCAATCGCGCTCGGATCCGCGCCAAATGAATCGCTCCGAGATCGCTTGAATGAGGTGGTCTCGACTTGATTGAAACAAACTCTGGAGCGGATCGATTATAGTGAGAAAGTGATACAATATGAGCTCGGTTATATTACAGTGTATTATGGATTTGTAATAGGCATACGACTAGTTGAAGAGAGAATTATGAGTATGGCGGGAGGTCATTCCAGACATCCCAAGTCTCCCGGAAGTTTCAGGAGTCTCCCACAAATGCACAGACACTCCCGGATGCCCGCAAACGAGTGATAATCTCCTGGAAATTGCGCGTCTCCCTTCCGGTCCTACAAAAAGTTGCGCACCCATCTCACTCCTCCCCACTGTATCCCTCCTATCTCTTCACACGTCACACGCACCTTGTCAAACACCACCAAACCACTACCATCCCCCTGACAGCGGAGCAAGAGAGTTTACACACACGTGACATGTTTTAGCTCTTTTGGTTCGTTCAGAAACTTTGCTGTGTGAAAGCGATCCGCACCAAGAGTAAAGAGCAACAATGTAATAATTGTAAACCCTGTTCCCCTTCGGATGGGGAACTCCAATGCTATGTGGAAAACCTTCCACTATGGGGTTTTCGTCAGAAACCAATGAATGCTAAATGAATTGGCAGTGTCAGCATGCACAGCTTGCGTCAATGACAATCAGTCAAGTATATAAGACGTGGCTAGTGCAATGCTTGACATCCTTTTCACTTTCAGAGCCAGTCATGAGCTTCTGAGAGAGTCTTTGAGGGTTCTCCAACATGTGTCTACAGAGAGAGATTGAGAAGCAGCTTCTCCCGGTCCAGAGCGCGTATACGCAGTGGCAGACTTTGGGTCCGGTCCTCCAAGACCGGTTTGTATACAGGAAAAAAAAAGCTTTCCTAAAAGAGCAACACGGTTTTGCAGCGTGTTTTTTTCAAGACGTCGCTTTGACCGTGCGTTTCTGGATGCGGTGGTTTTCTATCCCCGGATGATGGTCGCGGTGAGTGCATGCCGTCTCTTTGATGTCATGTCTGCTGCGCAGTTAAGATCGCGGCTCGCTACTGCAAAAGAGCGACCCACCCCAGTTGTACCCTGCACTGCGGTTGGCACTCTGGCAGATCTGAGGATTACAGTGGGAGTAAATCCGCTGCCTTCGTGCTGCAGACCTCTCGCTCCTTCACGCGCTCCATCCAAGCTTCAGGTGAAGAGATGCGCTCCATCTTCGGATGGTCTCTCTCTCACTTGATGACAACGAGGTTCAGATGTCCATCGCTGCATCTGAGGATGGGCTGTCATTGTCTGATGAGGATGCAAACCCGCTCGCTCCCTCCCTCTGGGGTGGAGAGCACGGCGTTAACATCTAAAAAGCAGACATGATGGCCGTGCTTTCCCGGGCTGCTTCAGCCGCAGGCCTGGTGATGGTTTATCCCCCAGAGTGTTATGTGGAGGATTCAAAGCCTTCCGTCCCCTTCTTCCCAGAAGTACACAGTAAGCTCAAGCAGTTTTGAGGGCACTTTTTTCTGCCCGATCTGCATGCGCTTCCATCCTCACCATCCTTGGAGGGTGTGCTGTCAATGTCTGATGAGGATTCGAGCCCGCTCCTCCCTCCGGGTTAATGAGCGCGGTGACTAATCTACAAGCAGACTTTGTGGCCGGGCTTTCCCAGGCTGCTTCGGCCGTGGCTTTGGAGATGGTTTATCCCCCAGCCCCGCAGCCAGACTGACTAGAGGGGTATGAAAACCCTTCTTCCTGGATGCGCACAGTAGGCTTACGCAGTGTGCTGCATGCACCTCCACCCTCACCTCGCATGCTACGGCCACCTACCAGTGCTACCAAGCGCAGGCGCTGTCCCAGCTGCGTGAGGATGGTTCCGACCCAGGACTGGGCATGAGCTCCGCACCCTAGGAAGGACGATGGCCACATTAGTGGCCAGGAACACCACTTCAGGCTAAATATCGTGATGTGTGTGATGTTGACAAAGTTCGCTTTCTTAACTCACCCATATCCCGGGCTGGCCTGTTCGGTGACACCGTCAGTTGGAGGCGATGGGTTATAATCTATCGGCGGGATCGTAAGACCGCTCCCTCCTACTGAGCCTGTAGCTTTTTGTTCCGTCGCCCCGCCTGTGCCTCTGGCCAAGCGGCTGCACCGAGCATCTCGCAGACAACCAGCGCCCCCCGCCCCAGGGTGACGCTAAGTTTGGTAAACGGACCGCAAAGCATCCCTGAGACGGGCCATCAGAGGAGGAGGGAATTTGCTCTTTCCCAGCTGGAGGGCGGGGCTCTAAATTAAACGGCGTAAAAAATAAAAAAAAAACGGCATCAAATCTTCAAAGAGCTATTTTCCCCTTCCCTGGATGTGACAGCCCAAACACTGCCAGTTTGGGCCGCTATGCTTTCCAGCTCGCAGGATCGGTTTATTTCGCCAATGGTTCACAGAGTGCGAGATATCGATCTCCTTTCTCTCCCTCTCAGAGCACCTCCGCCAGAGTTTGGGTGCGAGACAAGAGCGAGTCTCTCGCTCTCCCACTGGACCCCAGCGCTCCCTGGGTGAGCCCACCCACTCCACGCTGCCTCACCGGGTTCACTTGCAAGGGCTCTGTCTGCCTGGTTAGCGTGGGCCAGCCCATCACAATGTCTCATCCGTGCGATCGGACTCGGCTTTGTGATACAGTTCGCAAAACGGTTTCCCAAGTTCACAGGCGTGCATTTCACCAGGCTCAGTCCTGCGTCCGCCCCTGTCTTGCAAGTGGAGATTGCTGTCCTCCTGGCAAAGGATGCTATCCAGCCAGCCCCTCCAGCTGAGATGGAGAGCGGGTTTAAGAGCCCGTACTTCATCATGCCCAAAAAGAGTGATGAGTTACGGCCAGTCCTAGATCTGTGCATTTTGAACAGCTGCCGTCACAGGCTATGTTTCAAAATGCTTACGCAGAAGCACATCAACCGATGAGTTCGTCCTCAGGATTGGTTTGCAGCAATAGATCTGAAGGACGCGTATCTGCATTTCTCATGCTCAATTCTCTCGACATTTGGCGGATTTTAGCTCACTCTCAGGGAAAATTGACTATGCACAGAGACAGGGTGCTCCGGCACCTCCCCCTGTTGGGGTTTCAGATCAACTGAGAAAAGAGCTAGCTCGCCCCCATGCAGAGCGCCTCCTTTCTGTGGCTGGAGCTGGGCTCAATCACCATAAAAGCGCGCCTCTCCAAGGCGTGTTGCCGTGCCCCCACCCCCTGGAGGGACCCCTCTTTCCTACGGGCCAGAGTGCCCCGGGGTTAGGCGTCCAGGCATGTTGTCATTTTGACAGATGCTTCTAGTACGGGTAGGGAGGCTGTGTGTTGCAGGCATGCTGCTGCGGACCTGCGGAAGGGAACCCAGCTGCATAGGCATATCAACTGCCTAGAGCTGTTGGCAGTGTTTCGACTCTGCGCCGCTTTTTACCGGCACTGAGGGGGCAAAACGTGCTGGTCAGGATGGACAGCACAGCGGCGGGAGCATATGTCAATCGTATGGGAGATATGCGTTCCCGCCGCATGTCTTAGCTTGCTCGCCGTCTTCTCCTCCGGAGTCACACGTGGCTGAAGTCGTTTTGTGCTGTTCACATGCCGGGCAAGCCCAACCGTGCGGCCGGCAGGCTCTCACGGCAGCTCCTTGCCCCAGGAGAATGGCGACTCCACCCCGAGTCTGTTCAGCTGTCATGGGCACTGCCCCACAAATGCATGCGCAAATTTGTGTTTTCCCCAGTGAGCCTGCTCCCGCAGTTACTGTGCAAACCCAGGGAGGACGAGGAGCAGGTCTTGTTAGTTGCGCCTCTCTAGCCCAACCGGACCTGGATTTTAGAACTCACCCTTCTCATGACGGCTCCCTGGGGGGTCTCTTGAGAGAGCACCTACTCTCTCAGGGACAGGGCACCCTCGCCCAGATCTGTGGAACCTCCACGTGTGGTCCATAGATGCGAGGAAGACTTAGGTAACCTACCGATGGTGGTAGTTAATACCGTCACCCAGGCTAGAGCACCCTCTTTGATGCATGCCTACGCCCTATAGTGGAGTCTATTCACTAAGTGGTGCGCTTCTCGCTGAGTAGACCCCACCATCTTGCCAGATCAGTGTTGTGCTTTTTTTCCTTCAGGACAGGCTGGAGCGAAGGCTGTCGCCCTCCACACTGAAGGTTTACGTGGCCGCTATTTCCTCCCATTATGATGCGGTAGATGGCAGCACCTTGGGGAGGCATAACATCGTCATCCGGTTCCTGAGAGGTGCGAGGCATATGGTTCCACCCCGCCCCCCTGTCATGCACTCTTGGCACCTCGCAGTAGTGCTAACGAGCTTACACGAGGAGCCCTTTGAGCCACGATTCAGTATCCTTGAGATTTCTGTCCTTGAAGACAGCTCTGCTGGTCGCATTGGCATCGGTTAAGAGGGTCGGGTACCTGGAGGCATTTTCGGTCAGTGACTCATGCCTACCCGGCTATGTGCCCAAGGCTCCTACCATGCCGTGTAAGGATAAGGTAGTAAGCTTGCAAGCGCTGCCCGCGGAGGAGGCAGACCCAGTCCTTTTACTATTGTGTCCTGTTCACGCTTTGCCAACCTATGTGGACCGCACTTAGAGCTTTAGATCCTCTGACCAGCTCTTTGTCTGTTACGGTGGTCGGCAGAAGGGAAGTGCTGTATCTAAACAGAGGTTGGCCCACTGGAGAGTGGATGCCATCTCCCTCGCTTATCTGAGCCAGGGTGAGCCGTGTCCCCCAAGGGTTAGAGCGCACTCCACACAGAGCATCGCATCCTCTTTGGCGTTAACATGCGGCGCCTCTTTGACAGACAGTTGTA